ACACCACCACCACAACAACAACACTACTTCAGCGTTATGTGTGGTGGTGATGTCGCCCCTCCCCACGCGGCGGGCGCCATTGCAAGTGCATATCGCTGTGGATGCAGACGGCGACGAGCCATCCCAACACGCGCTTGCTTTTCTCGCCGCCACACAGCAGTCGGCCACAAAGGTTGTGTGTGTATACTTGTGGTTGGTTGAGGCAAACGAGGTGTGTGTGTGTGTGTGTGTGTGTGTGTGTGTGTGTGTGTGTGTGTGTGTGTGTGTGTGTGTGTGTGTGTGTGTGTCGTGTGTGTGTCGTGTGTTTGCATGTACATCGCAGGGATTCTTTCTGATCAAAGTGCCTGGTCACATCCTCATTCACGACATATGTGTGGTTGTGCTGGACAGGCATTGCACGGAGCAGAGAAGCAACAACATATCGACGAAGGCATCAAGGTATGTCGACGTTCGTACTTGCCAGTACTTTCTTCCCGCTTGTCTCCTTCCGCACGCGTCTCACTCACACTCACACTCACGCGCACTCGCGCCCTCTCTCATACACATGTGTTTGTTTGCGCAGCTGTGCGAGAGGTTGAAGGAAGTGGACAGCGTTCGCTCACGATATTGGGACCTCGTCAGCCGCCAACTCTCTTCATCATGAACACACAGACACAGACACACAGACACACAGACACACACAGACACACACGCACACTTATGGCAAAATGCGCAAGCTGGCCGTTTGGGGTTTGGTGTTTTATTGTGAGTGTGATATCATTCATGCCTTGCTTGAATGCAGTTGAAGAACATCACAATCACATCACATGGAGTCTCTAACAGATGCAACAGAAAGCGGCATTGTCGAAACACGGGGGGGGGGGGTTGGCGACAGTCCTGAACACGTGGCATGACAATAATGTGCGAGATGCAAGTGGAAGAGTGAGCGAGCGTATTGTGTGAGAGTGCTGTCAATATGTGTGTGGGCGTGCGTGTGTGCACAAGTGTATGAGCGTAGGCATGTCAACATGTTCCAGTGTGAAGGTGACCAGAGACCGAAGCGCAAATACATGAGGCGAATGTGCTTCTTGCTGACCAGTTTGTTTTGTTGGTGTTTGCGTTGTTCATGCGCCGTGCTCCTTTAGATCTTCAGCTCATCGGGATGGTTGCGGATCACATAGATGAAGCCAACAAACATGCCCACAGAGATAACAAGTTGCCTGTGTTGTGTTGCAGCACGCACGCACATTCAGAGATTGGCCGGGGGGGGGAGATGGGCTATGGTGAGAATCAAACACGACAGTGCCAGAGGCAAAGAACGTCGAAGAGCATCACAGGAGCAGGAAGACAAGAGAGGAGAGAGAGAAAGAGAGGCAGGTACACTCTGACACACAGACACGCACACACACACACACACAGACACACACAGACACACAGACACACACACAGACACACACACACAGACACACAGACACACAGACACACACACAGACACACAGACACAGACACAGACACACAGACACAGACACAGACACACAGACACAGACACACAGACACACAGACACACACAGACACACACAGACACACACAGAGACACAGACACACAGACACCAACCTTGTGAAAGGGTCCTGCAGGAGCTGCTTGGTGGTCTCTGCTGCGGCCTTGGCGTCCATCGTGCTGTCTGAAGGAAGTTGTGCGTGGTCTGCAAAGTATGTATGTATCTCCTCGTGTGTGTGGCAATTGTGTGCAAATGCCCATATTTTACCCAATTTGCACACAATAATCATCACAGGATATGGGTGCCTTGCTTGTTGCTTGCTTGCTTGGGTGTACTGTTTCTTCTTGCACTTGTTGCACTTGGATCAGGCAAACGACTGTTGCGACAACACAACACACACACACACACACACACACACACACAGTTGACAAACAAGCAGAGAAGAAAGGAAGGGGAAACACATGACACATGTGGAAGCTGTGCGCTGTCGAAGACATCGCTTGTATATTGTATACGTGGATGTGACATGTGTGATGTCTGACGCGCGTTGCTCACTGCACCACTCGTCATCATTCAGCAATGTGCACTGACCACAAACGAGAGGATGAGCGATGAGCCACACGCCGTCCTATGACGAAT